GCTCTAGTTTGATAGTCTGTTCAAGGCTGCTCTGCCTCTGTATCTATTTTTGTTCGTCAGTTTATAATGGTCTTTATTATCCATAAATGAGTGAGATCATGTGGTATTTTTCTTTCATTGTCTTGCCAATTTTTTTGCCAGTCGGCGTGTTTTAGGACCCAACCTTCCTACTTGCAATGCCAAAGGTAGTTCCTTCGTTGTGTCCTTTTTTAAATCCAAACTTCCCGACCCCGGCTCTAATCCTGCTATAGTTTCCTCTGAAACCTCCTGATGTCCCCGGGAGGCTAAGACGAATGGTCAGAAAGTTTGTATTTGAGTTTTCTCTCCTGGTCTGCTCGCCTGTGTCCTTCTTCTTGCCAGAAACGCCATGTCTCATCAACTAGCCACGTGTCACATGTGGACATAACATGTCAGAAAAGTGTGAGAGTTACATCGTGTCCGCAGTGTCAGGAGGCCGACATTTTCCTCTGTTTGAATTAGCCACACTCTGTGAGAGGCAGTCCCACGTCTGTGGCCTCTGCGCTCTGCGTCCTTTCATAGTTCAGCAGAACTATTGGGGACGATGGTCCAGCACAGCTTCTGGGACGGGAGCCATGTCCGGAGCCTTCGCGCGCTCCCCGGGTTCCTGGGAGACGGGTCAGCTGGACGAAGAGGAGCCTGTGCTGCGATGAGCGCGCGGCACAGAGGATGTTTTAACGAGACAAACGTCTGTTCTGTTTCCAGTCAACACATCGATTCCCAACGTCACGGAGGTGAAGGAGAACATGACCTTCGGAGCCACGTTGGTCACCAACCCGAAGGGGGGGTTCCTGGTAAGAGAGCCCGGCGTGATGCTCGCCCAGTGATGGCGAACCTATGACACGCGTGTCGGAGGTGACACGCGAACTCATTTTTTGGGTTGATTTTTCTTTGTTAAATGGCATTTAAATATATAAAATAAATATCAAAAATGTAAGTCTTTGTTTTACTATGGTTGCAAAGATCAAAAAATTTCTCTATGTGACACGGCACCAGAGTGAAGTTAGGGTTTTTCAAAATGCTGACACGCTGAGCTCAGAAGGTTCGCCATCACTGTAGCTAGTCCCTGGCCTGGGAAGGCTGCCGCGGTCCAGTCACGTCAACGCGGCAGTGTGTAACCTTATGCTTTCTCACCGTTTCATGTTCCCAAGGCGTGCGGGCCCCTCTACGCCTACCGATGCGGCCACCTGCACTACACGACCGGCATCTGCTCTGACGTCAGCCCCTCGTTCCAGGTGGTGAACTCCATCGCCCCTGTGCAAGGTACAGGCGGGCGCCTGCTCTCTGGTGTCTGACAACCCGGGCTGAACGAGACAGTGTGCGCGCAGGAGCGGGCCTCAGAGCCTGAGCTGTCTGCTCCGCTACCAGCATGACCAAGTTAGGGAAAGGTTGGCTCTGCCCACAGACATCCAAACCTCACGGCTATTTTGGGAACTGATATTAGTGTAAACAACCCTCCACAGAATGGTGCTTAAACACCCCGGCGGGAGCTGTCAGGTTGGTTTATGTAAAGGGTGAGCCTGTTGGAGGCTGGTGGCCTCGTGTGAAACATGCCCAGAATGAGAGCTGTCCTAAAGGGTGTCCCAAAATTCACGCAAGATTTGAATTTTGTGTGAGCATTAACAACAACAACAACAAAAAATAAAAGCCTAATTTTATTTGGTTTATTGAATCAGATTCTAATATCTGTTGCCCTTTGATTTCAATCCCTTCAATTTGATAAGCAT